ATGTGTCTCTAAGGGAAATCATATTATAGAAACCAGATAGGATCCCTAATGTTCTGTCCACTTTTCCTCACCATGTCTGATTAAACAGCTTAGCATCTGTTTAGCATTTCTCATAAAAATATAATGTTCTCTGTGAGATGGTACCAATCGTCTTTTAAAAGAACACAAGTGATCAGAGGGAGATCAGAGAGTAATCAGAATCCCTACAAGATTGTGTGTGCAGGAGCGAACAGTAATGGTCAGAAATCCTGCAGGAGAGGTTGGTTGTGAGATAGAAAAAAACAGTCCTGTGCAGACCTCTACCCCAGGGTGTAGAAAATGAAACACTTTGTTTCTGACACTACCTGACCCCTAAAGGAATAAAAAAGTCCCCTTTTGACCTTATGATACCTAAGTAGGAAGCTTGCAATCGGGATGTGTGTGTGTGTGTGTGTGTGTGTGTGTGTGTGTCTGTCTATCTGTCATCATTTGATGCGTGCACACTCGTACACATAACATATTCTGCCATATGTTGCTCACTTTCTCTCATCACCATCCACCCTATCCCTGACTCGCCCACAAATCAACGTGTGCCATTTCACGAGGTTGGGGTGAAAGAGGTTCGCTGTATTGCACATGTTTTTTCACATAGTACCCTATATGGAAAGAATGTGCTCTCAGCATTCCAAAGATGACTGAGCAGAGCTGAACCGCCCCACGTTAAGCTGTGTCCAGTCCAATCAGCTGAAGTTAAGTTAAAGACTGAGATGAACACATTTTACAGTCATATACACAGGGAACGTAGTTGACACAGCTGCACAGCTGAACTTTTCAGAAGCTGCCATTGAGCACTATGTTGGGTTTTGCTATATGGTTATTGAACCCAGAGACGCAGGTTCCATGTGTGTGAAAGAGGTTTAATTAATTCCAGATGTTGGGTTGCTGTATTATTTTGTTACAGATTTGATGTGTTAGATTTTTTTAATTGTCTGATTTGACAATGTACAGCTCTTCACTCTGCCTATTTTCTTCCCAAATGGACAAGAGTGGAGAGATGTGACAGTTCTTTTGTTTGTGTACATGTTTTTATTTCGCACTTGCTTTGGCAATGTAAAGTCTGATTCCCATGTCAATAAAGCCCAATTGAAGTGAACTGAATTGACATCAGTATCCATATCAGTAACTCCACATTAGTGAAAGGTATGTTTCTCCCAATCTTCCCCTGCCATGCATTGGTACAGTAACGTTACATGCTGTATCCAACGAAGGTTAAAATCAAGGGCAACATGCTGTATATTAAAAGCCCTCTTTGGTTCAATTTAAACACTTTTATGTTCCAACAAGTTACACAATACAGACACCGTTATCCAGCATTTCAATTGCTCCAAAGAAATACTCTGTGTTGGTTCAGTAATAGCTTTGGCGACAGCAGAATGGCTGTCGTGAACATAAACATTCTCTTTGAACATCTAAATCACATATTTGATTTAATTCAGAAACAATGGATGTTGGATAAAGTTTTAGAGCCAGAAAATATGTTTTCTACTATATAAAATAAATGTGTTTTTGTGAACTGTAACAGAGTATTTCTAGGATCTGACTTAAAAGTAGACTGTTTTGCTCATCTATAAATACCCCCACTATTTAGAATGTTTTCCCAATTAGGACAGGAGCGGTGTGTGTGTGTGTGTGTGTATGTATGTATATATGTGTGTGTGTGTGTGTGTGTGTATATATATCATTTGCAAAGAAACATAGTCTGGAAAAAGTTTGTCTGAAAGTTGTTTTGATGCTTTATCCCTTTTTGGGGCGGTACATGACATTTACCCTCATGGTATTGGTTGCAAGCAGGCACAGTCCTGCAGCCTCTTTTGTCCTCTTAAAGGCCATCTTTGTTCTAGTGAGCTGGTAAGCTACTGTTCCACCAACATGTAAAAGAGGAGTGCTGCTCAAGGAAATGATTTACACAATCCGGGGTGAGAGTAAAGGAAATCCCTAACTCAATAATTGTCTTGCCCATTTGCTCTAGCGCAGTGTCATATAACAATGCATGTTCTAGCTCATTAAGTACAAATCACATTTATGCCACATTGGCTGTTTCCTGACGCAGAAATGTTTTGTGAATGATCTTGCAACTGGAAACTTGCATGACATTGCTTATCCGTGACAGTAAACATTAAAGTCCTGTTTTTTTTTTTTTTTTATGTATTTCATCACCATGCAGTAAAACAGTTACAACTATTTCGAAAAGTTTTCCTTGTAGATGTGATTGTGTGAAAGCTTTGATGTTGGAGAATAAGTCTCTTCCTTTTTCCCAAAGACCGTGTTTGCAAATTGGTTTTCTTTCAGATTTGGTTTCCTATGGGTCACCTTGTACCTTTTTAAAAAAATTAATTAATTATTAATTAGTTTCTACATTAAATAACAGCAACATCAGATGGATGTGAGTAAAGCAGAACACCTTCAGTAGAGTGTATAAGTCTCACCCAGTACGATGCTGGTGGAAAGGATTTATGATTTTATGCGTTTGAAGTCCACCAGCTAAAATTCTCTCTCATGCAATTCTGAGCAAAAATCACTTTAATTAATCCAGATGCGGTCACCTCACTGCTGGGTACAGCCACCTTACCCTAAAGTCCCCCTTTCTAGTGTGGCGACACCATCTGGATAATTGCTCTGTCAAGGTCAGAGATGGTTAGCTTTCAGTACACTGTTCAAGTGGAAGGAATCGAATCAAAGGGCTCTGTGAGGGTCTAATCCCTGCACTGGAATGGCTTTGATTGTGTCTGGGAGCAATTAAGCATAGGTGTGTGTGTGTGTTTGGTCAATATATCAGTCACTGAGAGTGACTGTGGCACATATGAGCACTTTGAAACTTGGTTTGCAAGATATTTTAGTGCTACATGGAACACCAGAGCCTTCCCATGTTTTATCATGCACAGATGAAGCAGTATTTACCCCGGTGATGTGGCCATACATATAATTCCGTGGTATTTCATGTATAATATTTAATCCTAAAACAATGAAGGTAGAAGTTTTGATAAGGATTTGAGCTTCAGTGAGGCACAGCCATTTTGTTTGTCAGCCAGTGTGTGGCGCCTAATGAGGGGCTATTCGGAGAGTTTAGGCTGATGTTAAGTTGTGTAGTTTTTATTGTAAACTGTGTGTCTGTAAATAATGTGTAAATGACGAGCTGTCCTCGCATGCATATATATATATATTTTTATTTATTTATTTATAAATAATATAGACCACACACCATGGGTTGTAGGATCTGGGTTCTTCCCTCTAACCTAAGCCAACATTAGAACTAAATCTAACAGGACTAAAGCCGTGGAAAAAATAAAAAAATAAAATAAGCAAAGCCATGAAAACAGGACAACTGGACCAATCAAAAAACAAAAGAACCAACAAAAGCAGAAATCTAAATCAAGTCGGTCACAAACACATCTGTCCTGTGCCAAGGCCAGAAGATGGAAAAAGAGAGAACCAAAGTTCCTGACCCCTCCTTAATTGTTTTCCCTCAATAAGACGGGACCAGATGCAACTAAGGGAAAACACAAGACGTCGGAAGAGTCAATCTCATATGCACATCAATACCAGCAGGGGGAGCGCATAACAACACCCGCGCACAGCCACACATGCGCATATGTAAACATTCACACACACGTGCCCACGTACAGGACACACAGTATTATGCATGCCGAAACGGGTGGAAGTGCAGAAGTGTACACACATATACACACTCTTCGGCCGCAAGGGCAGCCCGGTTACAACCGCTAATGCAAACATAAGATAATATTAGCTGTCTATAAAATGGCAGGTCATATTTTTAAAATACCAAGAGGGGGTCATGAACTGCTGCATAAAAGACCATCATAGTTGTGAGCCCAAGCTGCTTGGCTCCAAATATACCCTCGGGTCTAACTTAAGGTGCCTGGAGTGTATTTTTGGGTCAGTGTTTACAGGTGTTTGTTCAGTGGCAGCAGTGCCAAGAGGTTAATAGGATACCCACTTTAAGAAGTTCAAATAGACTGGAGTCCATGTTGAATATGTGGTTATTTTGACCCAAGGATGGCCGGGAGGGAGGCTTCAGAGAGGAGAAGAACACCTTTTAAAGTCCCCTTAGATACAACTTTTATTAGAGTTACATTGATCTACAAAGACCACACCTCAGCAAATTGTTCGGTAATTTATTCATAAGAAATCCATGTTAAGGTATAGTGAGATTGTCAGTTGGGTCAGGGTCAGAAAGGTAAAATTATTTAAAAAAAACCCCAAGATGACAAGACCCCGCGACCCTGTATGCAGGATAAGCAGTTGACGATGGATGGATGGATAGAAGACTCACCGTGAGGAAATATCTCATATTTAGGGTCTTCACGTTCCATAATACAGCCTGAATACATTTACTCATTTAAATTTACAAATATACTGCAGCGGAAGTGCGCCGGTAAAGCAGTACGTTTATCATCCAAATAAATGCCCCTGTGGTATACCTTGGCTCTAATTCATGCACTTTACCCTCAGCAATAAACATTACACCACAAAGTTAGTAATTTGAGTAACTTCTGTTGAACCACGTTCACCTCATTGGAAACCTGGATTTGATTAGTGCAAGTCTAGTGACCAAGAAGTTTAATTATCTTGCTACTGTTACAGAACAATTGGTCGTGTTGCAAAGCACCCTTTCAAGATTTGGAGTCTGTTACAAATCATAATTTTGGGACAACAGTGAGGTACATCAGCACTAAAGCAGATTCAGAATATGATTCAATTATTTTGCTTGCACTTCACAGTTTATACCCAACCACTGTTCCTACCTTGTTGCTTGTTGATGTTGTTTACTCTGTCTATGTGGGTTAAGAAGTGCTCTGTGCTATATCTGTCACCTCAGAACCTAGACTTCATCTTCCTTTCCTTCTGTCATTACCCTCTCCTTCCGTCATCCTTCCTCTCTCCCCCTTCTTCCATTTTAGTTTTCCACTTACCTCCATTTGTCTGCTCTTCTTCCTCTGCAGGTTCTGATCTGTCCATCTTGTATCGAAACTGATCCAACCAAGCAAATTGTCCGAAACAGCTGAGAAACACAAAACATGGCTGTGGCCGGATGTCCGGATTATTTCCTGCATCACCCAAATTATCAGGTAATTTGCAATTTCCTGTGTAGTTAAATATAGTTAAAATCTATATTTGAGCACAATTTATATTCTACTTTAACAACTCAACCAGTGTTTATAGGGATGAAATGTTGCCATTTTAGACTAGAAATGAAACATCCAAGACTAATCTGTCTGTATAACATTGATGTCAGTATAAGGTGCTCCCTAGAGTTGAACTCACCGAATTTAAGGTTTTAAACACAAAGTAACTTTATTTAAGTAGAAATGCTGACATTTCTAAAGTAGAAATGTGCCAGTGTTCCCATGAAATTACCCTGGATTATTTTATAGCGGCCAACGTTGCAACATGCACATAATTCATAAAATAAGCTTCTGGGAATTTGTTTGCTGGATGAGATTGAGATATCTAAACTCTGACTCTGTACAGACCAGGGACCTTATTATTTATGTATTTAATGTGGTAAAACTAATAATCTAGCCGAGAAGTACTCGACGTTCTGTGGATTTGCTTCCAAGAATTCCAAGAAATGGTAATCAGCCCTTTTAAAAGTTCTTCATAGCATATGTGTGGATAGTAACATAGATATTTGGTAAGAGAAAATATTAGTGTTATTGTATTTATAACTGTTCCTTTAAAAGTCTGACACTTGCGCTAATCCTATTTTTGTTACGCAGTATTAGCAAAATCCCATTGAGTTGCAGAGTCATGTATTTTGGCTAACGTGTTATAATCTTCCTAATTTGTGAGGTTGAATTTTACTCTATAAGCCAGATTTTTATTTTTTTTCATGTTTCTTGCATGCAGCTCAGAACGTGAGTTGTTACTTTGAGCTGTCAGTACAAACAATGGCCTCTAAACATCAGCTTGTAACCTGATGTGCTTGTTGTTATTGAGGGAGCAAGGGCAGTCTTGCCTTCTGGTCTAGTAGGTTTGTTCACACCATCTTCTGTAGAGCAAAGGGCTTCCAAACATATGTATTAGGGCAGTAGCACTATTAGCCTGTTCAGAAGCAACTCTGTTACTTGCTTGTCAGCTGAGCCATGGCTTTATCTACGACCTTTGACCTCAGCTAGAGGCAGCGAGTTCAGCCAGCTAGAGTCTCCCAGATCTCCAGAGCTTAGACAGAATCCAAACATCCACATTAGGGATTGTGCATATGTGTGTTTTTGTGTGCGCTTACATGCATGTATTTGTGTTTATATTGTGTGTGTGTATATGTATAATACATTTTTTTTCTGCTTTTCCACCTGCAAAGATGAATCCCCACATAATAGCATAATTTTAATGAAGCATACATTTAGTAACAGAACAGTTTAAGGAACTAACAAACAAAATCTACATAGAATAGGCATCTTCCCTTTGGCACAGTGAATCATCAGATACAGGCTGTGTTCGAAACGGGCTAAACTGCTGTCTCAGAAGGTGTCTAACAGGACAGCGAGGCATCGAGTGCCGGAGCTTTCGAAAACTGGTCAAGATGGCGGACAAATGAAGTTTGTTCAGTATGGTTTCTGAGGCGTCTGTTAGCCGCTTTTCAATAGCTAGTTAGCTTATGCTAAGGCTAGCGTCTCTTCTGACAACCAGAAGAGACGCACGGCGGCGTGCTAATGTCACACATTGCCGTAAGTGCTGCCCTAGAAGGCTGTTCGAAACTAATGTAAACAGAGCTGCCTTCACTTGAAAGTGATGCCTTCTGAGGCAGCTGTCTATTATGGTTTCGAGGCAGTAAGGCAACTGCCTTCCGTTTCGAACACAGCAAAAGTGTCCACAAATAGAGAAGTTCATATGTGTAGGCTAGTCTTCTCTGCTTAGCAGATGTGCTGAATGCATTCACACTGGTACAACGCTCCTTCTCTCAAACACACCAAGCCCTCAACATCATGTCTTGTCATTTACATGATTGAATAAACTGGAGATCCTCTTATTTGGAGGCTGTAAATCTTCATCATCTTCATCAACAGTTTGGATGGGTGCTGCTGGAGCTACAGTATGAGGACCTTTAATGTACATGCGCGCGCACACACACACACACACACACACACACACACACACACACACACACACTCTGCTGTTTGCAAAGCATTCAACTATAACAGATGTACCTTGACTTGCTGAATGAGAAAACCCATTCACTGTGAAAATCCAGGGTTATGGAAGATTTTCCCTGATAAAACTGCAGCAGCAATTCAAAACAGATTCAAGTGAAGATAACATTCATAGTAAACTCAACTCTGGTTATATGGCCACTTTAATCGTGTTTCTGTTTTATGATCATGACTGGCGGATAAATGTTGGTATGTGCAAAGCAAGGCAAATCTGGGGTGGTAATAAAGGATTGTTAGTGGCAGGATGTTAACTGATTAAAGAACTCTTAATCTGGAAACTACGGCACCTATAATACATTTTATAAGGTTACATAAATATAAATCCAACCTGGGCCGTCATGTAAAGTAAAACTTGATTAGATTAAATACTACAATGCTGCGTATGCAGAGCTCAAGGAATCTCTGTAAAAAATAATATTGCCATGTATAAAAGTTCTGTATGCCCTCCAGTGAATTACGCTTCTTCAAATCTATGTTGGATCACTGGATAAACAAGCAGTCCAGCACTTACAATAATAATTCTTGCTTAGAGAGAGTCTGAGATAGCCAGATTGTTTTATCTGATCCTAAACATTAATAAGATTGTGTGGTGTTTCCCATAACCTACCAGTGTTTCTAAGTATCACAAGATTGCATTTTGTTTTACTTGAGTTTTTGCAAGGTGAATATTTCATTGCATATCACACCATTTCACAAAACATGGATCAGTGTGGACCTGATATTGAGGCCAGGGTGACTAGGTCAACTTTAGCTTAATGTTTGCTTTTACTACACTTTCAGTACATTGGAGTTTGATCAGATGTACAACATCAGCATGAAGTGTTCCTTCTTTGACCATATCCAGGTTTTTCCAGTTCAGGGTCATGGACCCGTGGGATCTTATCCCAGCATGCATTATGTACCTATCCGTGCATTTATGGGCAGAAATCTGGCTGCAGGGATAGTAAGAGATTGTAACATGTTTTATTTTTATACCATACCTGCACGTCTAGCCCTTTCATGCATGGTGTCCACATTTGTGGACAGTTATTTTAACTTCATTTTGGGTTCATATATCATGGTTATGTTCGCCAAGCCACTTGAGAACCGTGTCATTTGATTGATAGCAACGTTGTAACAGTGGTTACTGTCTTGTATTCCAAATATTCATTGCTTAATGACCCCATCGATCAAAGATGGCCGATTGTTAGTGAGGCAACTAGGTAGGGCTAGTTCATCAAGGTTTTCAGCTAGTGAACAGGATGGTGTATCAGTCAGGACACAGGAATGAAGACGAGGAGATGTAATTCCTTCCTTTAACTGTATTGAGCTCCAGCAGTACTCATCAGAACATTACAATGTCCATCTGTCATTATAGTCTGTATGAAACCAAATAAATCACCATTAGGTACTTAAATTACTATGCAACGTGAATAATAAATCCACATACATAATGTAATTAAGTCATCCAACATAAACATCTCAAAACATTGCTATTCCCCTTTAAACATAAGTTTACAATTACAGAAATGTGAATATTACTCCTTGGAAAGACATAAGGAGCATCACGTAGCTCACTGACCAGTTTACATCATAGATTGCATTGAAAGGGGGTTCACATAAGGAGCAATGGCGACACCCTCTGCCTAGCCGAGGCTACTACACAATAGCATCTGCACATGGTCTAATGAACACGATACGAACACTCCTTAATTCAATGTTATAGGTGTTACTGCGTAACTTAGACATCAGAAGGCTCACACCAGTTAACTTATGATTTCCTGCAGTGTTTTACAGCATGAACATTGTGCTAACATTAGAAATCTCACTCATCACGCTGGCCACATGTGAATGCATGTTAACTCTACAATACAGACACAAACACAACAAAGTTGCAGTCACTTACTTTTCGTCATTAACTCAACACACGGAATATTGGAAGCTGGATCATTCAGGAGGAAATAAACATGCTAATCGTCACACGTACGTGGGCTAAACTATGCCCGTTCCCACTATAGCCAACAAACTAGCTCTACCATAACCACAGAAGAAGAGTCTTAAAGCGGCAGGCCCCCAGAAATGTCAGAGCCTTTTATACAGTGATGGCCATGTGCTAAATGCTTCAGGCATACCTGTGAACAACTTTTACTTAAGGAGGTCAATTAAGGTAAAAAAAAATAGATAATATAGTAGGGGGGGCACCGCCAAGCAAAAGTACTTAAACGATGAATCAATTAAATAATCTGTAGAAGCTTCGAGTACTAAAATCATCGTTAGCTGCAGCCCAAGTAGAATGTACAGTTAAGTACGATTTACATGTTTGTTTATAAACTAAATTTATACAAAAAAAAACAACTGGAGTGAAATTTGTGGTATTTACATTTGGGATACTAATGTGTGTGTGTGTGTATGTATGTATGTATGTATGTATGTATGTATGTATGTATGTGTGTATATATATATATATATATATATATATATATATATAGCCATCTCTTCAGTAGACAGCGGCGGAGCGGCAGGGCTCCATTGAAGAGGGCTACGCCTGTGCTAATAGAACTAGTCACAGCCTCACACAGGCTCCGCCCTCTACTGGACTCTATTGGTAGAGTAGGTGGAGCCCAATGACTGTCCGCCCAGCCGCGACAAGCCAACGCCTACCACACCGACAGGATCGGCCACAGGCCACCAGCCACAGGCCCTAAACCACCTTCATCCCAAGCGATATGGCAGTAGGCCACCCCTTAGCAGGTCACTAGACCGATAGGGGTGTGGCATGACCAAGAGGGATCTGATTCAGCCAGATCCAACACCCAGACTGTCCTGATCCCTCACAGGGACGTCCGGCTTTTTTGTGGAAAGCCCTCCCCAGCAACCACTAGTCTATCATAGACACCGGCCCCTCTTTTCACAGATCCTGGGTTGCACCTGCGAGCACA